GCGACCAAAGCAGTTTCCGTGCTGTAACCAGGCCTGAAACCGGACTGAAAGGAATCCAGATAATTGGATAATCTTTTGACCTCCGAAAAAGTGAGTAGGGCTTCTATTCGGGGAAGTCTTAATTCCCCCCCCCCCGCATCCCATGTACCAGTAGGAGGCAGGGGTGGGTGGGATGAGTGGCCTCTTGTGCCAGTTTCCCGAAGGGTCGCAGCAGGCCATCCCACCATCCACAAAACAGCTGCTTCGTGGGTGCTGCTCAGGCCACTGCCTTCAGCAAGCGTAGTAATCTCGCCCCCACTTGCAGATCATCCTTTCAAAGAGGAGTTTCACCACGATGAAGAGGCGGCTGGAGGCAGTGTTTACATCAGGTTGGGCTTTCTCCTGCCTGTCCTCCTTTTCTCAGTCTATGCCGCCCCACATAGAGCCAATAAGAGATCTGCAGCGCCCACCAGGACCTGAAGAGTACTGGGCTCAGCATAGCTATAAGCCCGATGCCTGCAGCTATGAATAGGCATGCAGGCCAGTGCTCAGCAGGCCAAAGGCGGCACAGGCAGCACGGTTCCACCTGCAATCCCAGCAACATGGGGCCGGCCCCAGCTGAGAAACGTCCCAGCTGGGCCAGCAGCCAGTGAGAAACTCCCCGCCAGCCAAGCACCGAAGCTCCGCCACTGCCGCTAGGGGAGGGGGAGAGAGATCCGATCGAACATCGGAGGGCTGGCAGCAATGTTCTCTCTTTCTCCCTCCCTCTCTCTCACACACACACGTCCCTCACGCACACCCAACCCCTCCCAGGCAGCCACATCCCTTCACTAACCTGCTTTCCAGCTCCATTCTCCACTGTGTGTGCAGGGCAAGGCGTCTGTGGGACGTACTTCAGACCTTCCAACTTCTCATGAAAAAATAATCTCATGAAGTTGGAAGGTCTCAACTTTTTTTTTACTATAGTCTCACAGACCTCTTGCCCTTCAGGCGCAGCGGAGAACGGAGCTGGAAAGCCGCTTAGTGAAGGGACGTGGCTGCCTTGGAGGGTGTGTGAGAGAGAGGGAGATCCTTCTTGACGGTTCCTTGCATAAGCTACTTACTGTTGGATTGTTTGACAGTCAAGAATGCTCCCACCAGTACTTGCATATAAACACAGAGCACATCGCCACCAACACTCCGAGGTTGGATCAGTCGTAAGTCTAATTTTTCAATGTTATTGTAACTTTTAACGGTCGCTGGTCAGTAGCGAAAAATACCTGTATCTTGTTAAGCAGCATGCAAAAATTGTATTACATTAATACTATAATATAGGGTGGTGCAGTGGTGAGAATGCAGTGTTGCAGGCTAGTTAGCTCTCCACATCAGGAGTTTGATGCTGACCCACTCAAGGTTGACTCAGCCTTCCATTCTTCCAACATTGGTAAAATGAGAATCCAGCTCAGTGCTGTAAAGCACTGTGAAGCATTATATAAGTGCTATTGCTATATTACTATAATTGCACTGTTTGAAATTGCTATGTCCAATTACACTGTTAGTACAATTATATTAAAAACTGCAATAGGAAGCAGGAGTTTTGAATCAATTATATGAACAAATATAATTCTTTTTTGTGGGGGGCGGGGGGAGATTCATATTGCTCGGCCAGAGAGATTCAGTCTTAATAACTTAATTACATCATACCATTTTTTCCACGGATAAGATCTTCCACTAGAGGCTTAGCAACCACATCAAATACATGTTTCTGAGAAATGCTTGTGCCAAACACTTCTTTAAATGAATACTGAACCTGGAAAAAGTTTAACAGTTAGGACACAATTAACCGCAGTTTTACTCATTTGCTGTTTCACCTAGTCCTCTCATTGATTTTCATACTGCATCAAAGTTTTGAATGCACAACTGTTTTATGGTCAATTTATCTAATGCTTCAACAGTGATACCTGCAGTTCTTTTCCTAGTTTCTTGGGAAAAAGTAACTAGTACAAAAAAAATCTAAAGATTTTTATCTCCCTGTAATAATGTTGGAATGCCATTTGGTAAGTGAGTCAGTCTTCCCAAAAGCACATTTTTCTTCATGCATTATGTATTTCCAGCAACAAAATCACTAAATAGGACTTTAGTATCATCACAACCTTACTAATAAAAATTACTGTATTTTTCAGACTATAAGATGCTCCAGACTATAAGACGGACCTGGCTTTTGAGGAGGAAAACAAGTAAAAAAAAAATCCATCTCTACATCCCAGCAATTTGCTTCTTTGCACCAAACAGCCTGGTTAGCTTCAGTATAGCCTGATTTAGCATGAGCAGCTGATTGGCGGTTGGATCAGCTTCCCAGAATACTGCCCATCAGCTGTTCCAGGCTGCGGGGATCGCCATCGCCAACCATGGCTGCCTCCGCGAGCCCCGTTTTTGGCCATCACGCACCCCGTTTTCATCTGTCGCCTATAATGAGCCGAAAATAGGGTACGCAGAGATGGCAACGATCCCCACAGGCTGGAACAGTTGATCAGCAGTATTCTGGGAGGCAGATCCAACTGCCAATCAACTGGCAGTGCTAAAGCTGACCAGGCTGTTGGCTGCAAGGAGGCAAATTGCTAGAGGCAGAGGCTGAAGGGTGGAGGCCAGAGGGTGGGTGGGGCTTCGGTAACATTTGCTTTATAAGACACACAGACATTTTCACCCACTTTTGTCTTATAGTGCGTCTTATACTTTGAAAAATACGGTAATTCAAAATGGAATTCCAATCCTATGCATACAGATAAACCCCGCTGCCTTAATTGACACTATTCTAATAAAAGTCTAGATTGAAACCTATAGTTAACAATAGCACATTTTCAATGAGAACTACCTCTTTATATTCTCCATTACGGGCAATACGGTACCCATCAGGTGAGTGAACCTGGACTGTTGTGCTGCTGATCACTTCTATGCAACACTCTTGGTTTGGTATACCAACTGGGCGGACCCGGCAGTACACCTGAACAGAGAAAAAAGTGCCCTATTTAGATACACCAGCTTAAGGCTGTCCTCCTTGTTTACAGAACAAACATCAGAATGGAAAGTCTTTACAACTAGTCCTCAACATATCACAATTCAACCCATAATTTCGGTTGGGTCACATTTTACCTTTTTTGCAATGGTCATTATGCAAACCAGCTCCCATAAAACAAATGTATTATTTATTAACTGGCAGTTTCTGTTAAAAAGAGGAAGTAAATGCTAGTTTTCATTTAAAACTTCATATATGAGGAAACAGGGTTCTACAAACAGTTGTAAAGGTGGGCCAGCCGCTGAGCTCCGAAAATGTGGTCATGTGATGGGGATCCTCCTCCCCCAAGTTTTAGAATTTTAAAACCAGATATTAAGTCCCATTTTGGGGGATACATTGAACTTTAAACAGTCGCTAAGCAACTGGTCCTAAATTGAGGACCATTTGAACTAGCATCAGAAGATATGGTTTGTAGCTGATGTGTGCTTTAAGGCATCGATCTTTTTAGGTTGGCAATCTTTGAAATCGGCTCAATACAACACCTGCCATTTCTGGGGTTTAAAGCAACCTTATCATAGCTGGATGAAAACCACCTGTCTAGAATCAAGGAAATAATGCTAAATTCTATATGAAGTTTTCAAAAAAATGTGTCAGTGTTTAGTGGCTTTGCAGATTTTGCCTCTTCTCATATCAGAAAAACATATACTAATTTTGTTGTATTTAAGTACAATGACAATAAAGATTATACTTATACTTATCTACAATTCATATACAAGCGCATTAATAAAATAAAGAAGCAAGTCCAGCTTTCAGAGTCAAATCCTACAATATGTAAGAACAGATTAAAGAGCTAATTCTGCTGTAAATCAGCCACTTACCCCAACAGGATCCTTCAAACTATTGTTAGATGCTTTTTTAAATGCATGTTTCCTAGGAGTTTTAGTTCTTCTGGAAGTTAATAAATGTCAGATAAGTTATAAATAAAATCAAAGATGCACACTACACAAGGCAATCAACTGAACTGATATCTATGAAATGCTGTATTGCAGCAATGCAGAGGAAGACCAAAGCAGTCAGAGGCTTTTAAAGGTAGCTAATACAAGTGGGTATTACTTTATTCATGCTAATAAACAAAGTGTAAAGAATGGGTGGACATGTCACCAACAGAGGTGGTCCACGGAGAGGTGGTCGAACAGAGGTCACCAACTGGTGGTCTGCAAGAAAATTTTGGTGGTCTGCGGCGCACCTGGGTGGAGGAGCTGCTGGGAGATGACCAGTTCTATGACTAGAGATCTGAAATATGGGACCATCCAGGCAGTTTGTGGGGAGACTGGAAATCTCCGCTACAGAGGGAGGTTCATACAACTTGCAACTCTGCAGAAGGTGCAACCTGCAAGGAATAGTGCAGCCCTCGCCGGCCAGAAAGGTATTCGTGCTGTTGTGGCAAGAAGGGGGGGGGGGGGTTGTTGGCGCAGGCGGGCTGAAGTGATGGGTGTCGGCAATCCACGGCTTTCATCCCCCTGCTGTGGCTTCCTGTCAGCTGAACCACCATTGGCTGGTCCCGCCTCTCGCCCTCCCACTCACTCCTCGCCTGGCCTGAAAAGGGAAGGGGGGGAAATGGAGATTTGCTCCATATTCCAGATCAGGAGCAAAGCTTCATCTCTTGCTGGGTCTCAGGGCGTTTCTTCCTTGTTCGTGCTGCGCGATTGGGACACACACAAGTTCCTCTCCGCCCCAAGACACTGCCTGGCCCATGAGAGAGAGGGTGGTGGGGGGAGAGAGAGAGAGAGAGAGAGAGAGGGAGGGAGGGAGAGAGGGAGGGAGGGGGAGAGAGAGAGAGAAAGAAAGAAAGAGATGAGAGAAAGAGAGAGGGAGGGAGGGAGAGAGAGAGAGAGAAAGAATGAGATGAGAGAAAGAGAGATGAGAAAGATAGGAGAAAGAGGGATGAGAGAAAAAGAGAGGTGAGAAAAAGAGAGAAAGAGATGAGAAAGAGATGAGAGAAAGTGATGAGAAATAGAGGAGAAAGAAAGATGAGAGAAAAAGAGAGGTGAAAGAAAGAGAGAGATGAGAGATCCTGGTGTTTTGTTTTCTGTGGGAAACAGGTCCAAATGGCTCTTTGAGGGTTTAAGGTTGCAGCAGCACTGGGAGTCCAGGTGCTTCGGTGAGCAGTGCACTGGATTCATCTTAGTGGTCCACAGGATTTAAAATTATGAATTTAGTGGTTCCTGAGGTCCAAAAGGTTGGTGCCCCCTGACTTAGAAGATGCCTTCTAATATCCATAACAACTACATGCAAAATCCTCTTCTTGAGAGTGCTAACTGCCACCGCTCCTGCTTTAATCACTCTTTTTGCAAGAAAAAAATATGCTCAATTTTTCCACATTTCTGGATTAACTATTGTGAACACAAAACCCACATCCACAGAGTAAAATCCTTAGACAGTAAAAGAAGGAAAATGAAAGCTGGAAATATTGGACTATTTTCCACCAGAATTTTGGTAGGAGATTCAAAACCCACCATTCTACTGTCTCACAAAGGCCAAGCCTCCTTAATGTGAAAATCCTATCAGTGAGTAGCTGCTGTGCCCTTTCTCCCCACTGTATCATAAAAGCAGGGCCCTCAACAACTTTTAAAATGTAGAACTAAAATTCCCATATAGGAGCCATGGTGGCACAGTGGTTAGAATGCAGTACTGCAGGCTACTTCTGCTAACTGAGGCTGCCAACAGTTCTAGTCTCACCAGCTCAAGGTTGATTCAGCCTTCCATCTTTCCAAGGTCAGTAAAAATGAGGACCCAGATTCTTGGGGGCAATATGCTGACTCTGTAAACTGCTTAGAGGACTGCAAAGCATTGTGAAGTGGTATATAAATCTAAGCGTTATTGCTATATGAGTATCAAAATGACAGGCGAAACAGTTGAAATTCACCAGTGATTCATTTTTTTTAAATTCACACCACTTTCCCCACGGAAAATGCCTAGTATAGTTGTGCAATTTGTTTGGCTCCTTGTCTTACCCCAATTTTCTTTATCATTTCATCTATTAGGTGCTGGCAATATAATGTTACTTAATAGCACTGTAACATCCATATAATCTATGGCCAGCTCACAAATCAAATCGTAACAGCCAAAACACAAGATTGTTTTTTTACAATGTGTCTGATCATATTTTAACACTGCTAATGTGTAGATTAATACTATACCCTTTATCTGAAAAGGCTGACGAGTCCATTCCTATACCTGTACAGCAGTTGACTATTATCCCACTGCTTTCGTTTAGAAGAACAGGTTAAAGTACCAAATACACTAGTGGTGAATGGGGGACGATGGGAAATTTATTTCTACACCTAGAAAGCATCACTCGGGGAAAGTAAGCACTCACTAAAAGGATGTATCATGCCGAGCTTCAAGCCTCGCCTTTTGCAAATGTAGCACACTTCCTAAAAGCCTTAACCGAACTCCCAAAACCGACAGGCAAGTTCTGCATTGCCTGTAAAATCTGCCTATAAACAAAGCAATTCAAACTCGCAGCAAGAGGCACCTGGCCCTTCCCAGCAGCTGCTTCATGGGAACAGGATAAGAAAGAGATCAGCATTAAAGCGGCGATACGGATGGAAGGAGACGAGCCGGGGCTTCCCGTCCCAGAGGAGGAGGCCCTCCTGGCGGGAGGCTCCTGGCAAGGCCCTCCACCCATCTCAACTCCAAGAAGGCCGGGGAAGTCGGGCTTCTCCTCCGCGGCGGCCCAGCTCCTTCGCACCGCTGCTCCCCCCGCAACCCTAGGCCAAGGCCGGAGCAGCTCCGCCGGGGAAGAAGCCTCGGGCTGCGCGCCGCATCGCCCACCGCGGCCCTCCCAAAGGAGCGGGGGAAACTTACGCCGCCGCCTTCATCGCGCCGCCCGGAGCGCTTCAAACGTTCCCTCCACTTCCCAGCATCCGTTGTACCGCCCCGTTTTTAAATAGAGCCAATCGGGAGAGAGGGGGCGGGACAGGAGGCGGACGCTTGGCTTGTGGCGTCATAAAGGCGGGCGGGTGCCAGGAGCCTGGGCTTCCGGCAGCTCTTTTTCTGGGGTGAGTTCCCCGTAGGCGTTTGGGGGAGACCCTCAAGTGCCGCTGCTGCTTCCCCTCCCTTCCCCGCTTGGGGAGCCTGAAGGAAAAAGGGAAAGTCGGCGGCAACTGTGGGAGTTGGGAGCTCAGCCTGGTCAACCCAAATCCAAAGGCGCGCGCATCGTTGATCTATTATTTATTAAGAAAATCTATGTGGCTGCTCAAGGTGACGCCGAACGGCTTTCAGAAACACAGAAATCTGCAGAAATTTAAATGCCGTTTAAATCCAAGAGACCCTCACTGGCTCCACTAACTTGACTGAGGCAAGACCTCCTTCGCCAACTCCTGATCACACCCCCTTTTCCCCTGGTCACGTGACTGTCCAGGACGAGAGGGCGGGGCCTGGGACGACTCAACGTCGGCAACTCCACGCGGCCAGCAGGGGGCAGACTTCCCGACGCCGCCATCTTATTGCAGGGCATCTCAACACCGGCGATTGGCTGCGGGCCACAGATGGAGAGCCGGGCGAGCGGGTTGTCGGAGGGCTGCGGCGGCTTGGCTGCCGGCGCTTCTGATACGACGGCGTGCGAGATTATCTGCGGGGCGTCCTATTTCGTGGATTAGTTTGTGGCTTAAGAAAAAACTTTCAGATAATTGATTTCCAAGTTTTATGTTACAGGGAATAAAAGTTTAGATGCAGCAGCTTCTGGGCCGTGGCCTGCTGCCTTGTTCATGGGGAGCAGCAGGCGGAGGTTTGCCTTCCTCCTTTCCTTGGGCAACCTTGTCCACCCAGGCCCTGCTCTTTAGCAGTGGCCGCCTGCGCACCTTGGGCACAGGAAGGGAGTCCTCTACGCCTCCCTCTTCACCGACTGGCCCGTCTCCTGGCTGGGCTGGCACCCCTGGCACTTCGACTGTACAT